ATTTGATTGGCAAACTTCTTCCAGCTGAGTGGGAAGGGTCCGACTCCAAAGAGTACATGCCATACCAATTCTAAATAGTGTCTCCTGGGATCCGAACATTTGGGACGTGTGAATAGAATCAAATCGTGACAGGCAATGAGATGAACATGGAAGAGAACTGGGAGTGAGAGAAGTACTTGTCGTTCTCAGCCCCCCAAGAAGGCAGGACTGTATGCACTAGAAGTCAGGAGGTTAGCCAATCCAGCAGAGATATCGGGACTGTGTGGCTTTGCTGAGCCCCCAGTGTGTCTCATCTTTACGATGTAGGAGACTCTAAGGGGCCTTAGTGACTTTGGCTGTCGTAAGTGCTCCATCAATCAAGATGGATTAGGAAAACAGAGTGGATGATGGGTTCTGTCTAGGTCAAAGGCAAATGTGGCAGGAATTGTGTAGAGCTGGAATTTCCAAGAGGAATACTTAAGAGAAAACCAAAAGCTATTATAATTTTTCTAAGTCCCTAAAGCCTGAACAGCAGTTTACCAATGGGATTTAAAGCATGAAAATACCAGGGATTCCCACTATGACAACTGCTACTCAGAAAAGAGATTCTATGGGATGGGAAACACCACAGCCACTTCCCTAATACAGCAGAGAAGGAAGCCTATAGAAGACAGTGCAATGGGAGCATCCCATGCTGAACTGCAGATTATTTGGGCTTAGACAGATGATGGGGCAGGTACCTACTGTTTCCTGTTGGACCCCAGAAGCACTAGGTGCAATAAGCATCAGTGAATGGAAATGGAGATGGCGTAGTGCGAGCGAAAAGGAGTGAGTGTGTCCTAAGAACAGGGAATTTCCCCTGGGGATGGAGAGTCAAATGTGGCCCATGGAGGGGAGCAGAAGGCAGCAGCACAAGCCCAGAGCCACTCAGACCCTGGAAGAAGACACCCTGGCTCCCCTGTTCCCCAGGCCAGGTGTTAAGCACAAGCCTGCACCTCTTATTCTTTTGGGAGGGGGGGGGGTGCATTAAAGAAATACTCCAGAGGGAGGAGTTGGGATAGTTCACAAAGAACGATTAGAGACTTTAAAGATCTTAGGGTAATGCTCCCCATCCATCCATTCTTGTCGTGAACACTGCTCTTCTGAGAAAAGAACTGCAAGAAGTTAACGGGGCCTTTCTGTGCGGCGCTGGGCCTTGTAGTTTATTGACACTAGGTGGCATGTGTTTGGAAAGAATGGATTGCAGTGAGCCCTCAGGGATCCTGCCCACACTGTGTAAAAAAGTATCGTTATACAGTGCTAACCCAAGTGTTTTACAGATTTAAAGAGGCATCTGAAAGGCAGGAAAGTATACCCCACAGCAGCAAGGATATGAAATAATTGGGACAGGGTGCAGGGGTCAGATTGCAATGATATTCTAGGGTGTTTTATAGCTACACAAGGTATAGGTAATATGTAATGAGTGACTGAGAAAAATCCTACAATAGTCTATGCCTGTAACATAAAACTATGGCTAACGACTGTGAACACAGGCATCTGGCACGAGGAGAAAATGGTACTCCTGGAAGCCCTAAGGCAACTGAACAAAATCCCAGTACCAGAAATTCTGGGATGCTTCCCTATGACTGTGGATCCAAAGACCCCACACACAGGATTTTGCCATTTATATTAATTGCATATGAGAACTGGATTCTAAGAGTCTAGTATAATGCCTAGATGAAAGAGTCTAATGAGAGGAACAGAGTAATGGATGATTACATACCACTAAATCTAAATGAGCAAATGAAGGGAAGACTTGTACAATGCAGACTCACAAATGCATAAAGAATGACGAATAGTTTATCACTTTCCACCACAACAATAAAGCAGGGCTGTTTGTAATACAACGTGAGAAGCAAATAAAAGTTGTCAATGTGAGCAGTACTTTGCTAGAGATGATGGTGTCATTTCTAGAAATCTGCCGTATGAGAGGAAATAATGACTCAGAGGAGAGACACCAGACAAAATGAAATGGCCAGATGATCAAAATTCAGATGATTTATAAAGGTGCCAGACACTAAGATCAGTTTTAAGATGCTCCCACAAAGAAAACATTTTTGTTCAGTCGAGTCACTGAGGAAACATCACGAGGCCTGGTGAGGGCTGGGACAGTTTTCAATGAGAATGGTCCCCATAGCTTCACATATGCTTGGTTCACAGTTGATAGAACTGTTTGGGAAGAGTTAGGAGGTGTGGCCTTGCTAGATGAAGCATGTTACTATGGGTTAGAATTCATTCCTATTCTCTGTCTGTCTCTGTCTCTCCCTCTCTCTCTCTCTCTCTCTCTCTCCCTAGAGGAGCAGATGTTAATCTCAGCTACTGCTCTAGCACCATGCCTTGCCTGCTCTTTGCCATGCCCTCCACCTTAATCATGGACTCTAACCCCAGCAACTGCGAGCCCCCAAATCAAATGCTTTCTTTTATGAATTGCCTTGGTCATTGTATCTCTTCACAGCAATAGAAAAAACAACAGAATCAAGGGTCAACACAAAAATATTGGTTATGGACACTATAAAACTATAAAACTTCCATGACAATAAAGATAAGGAAAGGCTGAGAGACACCTTGACCTGAAGACACTGCAAAGGTAAGACAGCACATTTTCCTGAAGAACTCAGACCGGTAAAATCATGGATACAGGGTAAGAAGAGAGCATTCGCTCCTAACTTTCCACATGGGTTCAGTAATGTAGCCATCTATAGGAGCATACCTATAATCATAGCACTCAGGTGGCAGGGAAATAAGACTAGGAGTTCAATGCCATCCTGGGCAACAGGAGATCCTACCTCAAAAACAAAGCAAAACAAACACACAGAAAGAGATTAATAATAACGGGTGTTATACAGAATAGAGGAATGGCCATCTATGCTAGTATCTGAAGCATGTGTGCATGGGACAGAAAATCAGTGCTTTTTGTACTATATTGTAATGTTTCCTGTACATCTGAGAAGTCTTTCAGAATTTTTTTTAATTAAAGGAAGGACTGCAACTTGAATTAAAACAAAAGTGAATTAAAACAAAAGTTACTTCTTTCTGCCACAGGTAGAAGAGAAAGTACTGAAAGATAGCAAGTAAATACAAGATTTTCAAGTAGCATTTAGCAGAAGAAAAAGAAAACAAAAAGGTGGCTGGAATGCCCACGAGACTGCTAGCAGAAACCATGTGCTTTCCGGGGGGAGGGAGGGCACATTTTAGAAAACACTGTTTAATGTAACAACCATTTCACATATAAGTGAGGAAATGCTCTCCTGAAAATTATAATCAATCCCTATCTATAGCTGCATAGACCTGACAGCGGGATACACCACTGGGAATAAGAAATGCAATTAGCTGGGCAGATTTGAAAATTTAGGTAACTCATAGTACTTCTTGAAAACAATTTTCCTTGTTTTCTAAAATAAGGAGGTTAAATTACATTTTTTATATTATTATGAGTGTGTGTGTGTGTGTGTGCGTGTGTGTGTGTGTGTGTGTGTGTGTGTGTGTGTGTAGCATGTGTGTACCTAGTGACTACAAAGGCCAAAAGCAGTCGTCTGATCCCTTGGAATTGGAGGTACAGTTATGAGCCACCTCTGTGCAGTGCTGGGACTTGAACCTGGGTGTTCTGTAAGAGCAACAAGTGCTCTAAACCTCTAAGAAAACATAAAGCCAGTGTTAAGTAATCTGGATACATGTACTTATCAACTGATAAACAAATACATAACTAAAGCTAGGTCAAAGTCACTTCAAATAAATGTTTATAAAATAAGCAAAAGCTATACACCTACCAAATCCTGAGGTACCTAACCCACCACTGCTACCAGTGTCCTCAACTGCTTTTGAACAAATATATATTGAAAAGACAAGTATTAAAATACTTAATACCTTTCAAAAGATTTCTGTGGCAAATTAAAGAAATAACTAAACCATAATCTTAATACTGCCTTTCAAACTTAAGAACTTATCCTTTTTTAAAAAGTATGTGTGTGTGAGAGAGAGAGAGGAGAGAGAGAGAGAGAGAGAGAGAGAGAGAGAGAGAGAGAGAGAGGATGACTCATGGGAATCAATTCTCTCCTTCTACTATGTAGGTCCCAATGACTGAACTCCAATCACCAGGCCTGATGGCATACTTTTACGGACTGAAGCTCTCTGCAGGCCCCTTTAATACCACATCTTATTCAGACACCTTCTCTTCATCGATGCACACAGCTCTATTCAACAGTTGCCAGTTATTGAGGAACAAAGCCAATCATGTTCAACATAAAAACAGCTTTAAATATATGCAGATTTTTATCTTGGTTTTAGGTTGTTAAAAATATTTATTGCATTTAAGGTAGTCATAAGAGGCAGGTAAGAAAGCCAGTACTAGAAATAACAGGCATAGGGGTTACTCAGGGAAATTTCTGAAAACTACTTGTGTTTTGTGACTAGGCAGCAGCTACTAAACATCTATGATATACCAGACACTGAGCTAAAGGATTGACAAACTTTTCAGGCAAAGAGCCAAAATGCAAATATTTTAGATTTTGTGGGTACATGTATTTCTTTCAACTATTTTTTTTAATATTATATAGCCTAGACTAACCTCAAAATCAAGAGGTAGCCATGTTGACTTTGAATTCTGACCTCCCAGCTATGCCTTCCAAGATAACAAACATACTATCATGCCCAGATTTTCTGGTACATAGTCTTTTATGAATTTTCTAACAATTAGCTTTAAAAAAAATGTAAAAAAGTAGTTATGCTCAATCACCATATAAAAACAGTATGAAAAGCATATCTGTCCCAAAGGTGGTGGTTTAGCCAATACCTTACATTAAAAAGTTCAAAACCACCCAACTAATAAGAGGAAGGGGACTATTTTGGACTAGTATATAAACAAACCAAGGCTACTGATAAACAGTAAATATAAAAATAGGAGCAAAGTTAAAGATAAAAAAAACAAGGATGATTAAAACATGCAAGGACAATAGAAAATAACATTAAAAATAAAGACTACATACTCCGGTGTATATACTGGTAACCAATAGACTAGTCTTCCACCCAGTACGAGGGTCTCAGCTGCAAAGTTTAACAGGTCAAAAAACATATCACTCAGATGATAACTCAAGGAGACAGGAACGTGGCTTTCTGGACTAACAGAGAACAAATATTACAAAATCAGTAAAAAGTTTAAAATTGCTCAAAGTAATTTCAAGAGAAAAAAAAATCAGTAAGTTTTTCAAAGTGATAACTCATTACATTTAAATTTTACTTACCACTTTTCTATTCCCTTTGGTATTTCTTTCTGTGAACCTGATCTTCTTGTAGATTCTCTGATACCATATGGAGCTAGACAGGAAAAAACAGCAGGACAGTCAAGTCAGCCCATCGCCAATGAGGAACAGGTATACATCACGGGCGATCAAATGTGATATCCACGGATGGAAAGAATCATCACCCATGCATCATTCCACCCGAAAATATTTAACAAAAAATGCTCAGGAAGGGACAACTTTGTCTTCAAAAATCTCCGCAATACAAAGACACAATAAGGTTGTGGACATACTGTTAAGTAACAAAGGCCCAAAATTATTAAATGCAATGTCTGACTCTGAAGTAAATCCTGAATTCAAGGGAAAAAGTAGTTCATAATATTTGTGGTTTAACTGACAAAACTGGCTAACAAACTGTTGATTACTGTGTCAACTTAGTAAGGTTGATTGCTAATCAAAAAAGAAAAAAGAAAAATAAAACCATTAAGCCAGGCAGTGGTGATACAAGCCTTTAATCCCAGCACTTGGGAGGCAGAGGCAATCTTTGTGAGTTTGAGGCCAGCCGGTCTACACAGCTAGTTCCAGGACAGCTACGGTTGTTACACAGAGAAACCCTGTATCAAAAAAACAAGATAGATAGATAGATAGATAGATAGATAGATAGATAGATATACTGTGGCTAAGATACTATCTTTTTTCTCAGAAAATCGACAATAAAGTATAGAAAGAAAAATACCATACTGGGAGAAAAAAACAGTAAATAATAAAAGGTTCCAAATTGTCATAATGTATATTCACAATGGCATCTTAATGCTGAAAAAAATTTCTTGTTAGATTTGAAATCCTCTAAGGCAAAGAACAAAAAATGGCTGAGACAAAAGGTCTTAACTTTGCATTATTTACCAATTACTACCAAGATTTTAATTACAAAAATTTTTACAAAGATTATTAGCAACCCTGTGAAAAAGGCACACCTGTTTTGACAAGGCGCCCCAAATGCAGACGATTCACAAGCACAGAACCTAAGTTTTCATGTAGTGTTTTAGAGCTAGTTGGTACAGAAGCCCAGCAGTTTGCACAACCCCACTCTCTATGTCCAGAAAGAAGACGCTGGTGAAAATAGGTGCTATAGAGGGAGGCTCACCTAAATGGAAGATCGCTGAAAGCGCAGAGAGTGACACAGAAACCACAAACAACACTGGCTCTAGTTGATACACTGATGGCCAATAAATGGGAGGGAAAATGGATGGCAAATTATGTACAGACAGGAAATAAATGTATTTGCTAAAATGAAACCACAAACCCTGAAGTACTAAAATTAACAACCTGCTTTTTCATCATAATTTTTGTATTGGTTTTGAAGAAGAGTGGGAAGAACCCTAGTAAAAGTGGGCATTTCTCATGTGTTGATATATTTATACTTAAAATGTACCAATTTCAGAAAACTAACCCCCTTCCTACTTTGTAAAAAATGAACTCACGATCTGTGATGATTGCATCAAAATACATTCCCTTCCTCCAGGATGGCTTAGAGGCATCTGAAACCAAGACATCAAGATAAAACTTCTCTAAGCCATATTGACGAAGATTTGCCCTGATGTTTTCATCTGGTCCTCGCCATTTCTGGTTTTTTCTACTAGCTTTTCCTAAAGAGAAAGAAAATGAAGACAGAAAATTATTACATCAAACAAAGCATCATTCTTTTCTTTAGTTTAGCCAAAAATACTTTTATGCCCATGCAAACCCACATTTACCCACATAAAATGTGTGTTCATTTGTAATCTTAATTGTATGCACACAATTAAGCAAATATTTCACCTTATTATTTTGAACAGTAAAATGCACCTTATTAAAACGACCAATACTTTCCAAGTATGAAGTATTCACCAGTAAGCTACATAAGTGAGTAGAACATGAACCTATCTTAGAAGAATAGAGTTCATGCTGAAAATGTTTGATCAGATAAATGAAACAGAAATGAAGAATGCTAACTTGTGAAACACAGCAGCTCTGACCATGAAGAAGGCAGACAAATGAAAAAATTACTCATGAAAAATCAGTGTACACAGAAAAAATGAAGAAACTCAAAAGCTTAGCACATAAGAGACCTAAAGGGAAGATGATGTTCATGTCAGTGATAAGATTAGAGAAACCCAAAGGAAAAAAAAGAACAGCTTAATAGTCAAATCTGAGATATATAACCACCTCCATACACATACCACACCATACCCATTACACACACACACACACACACACACTAGACATACACACAACCAGAAAACTGCACTAGCTAAAAGAGAGAATCATCAGGTAACTGAACTCTGGACTACACACTTGGAGCCATCAGTATTTAAACAAGTGGAACTGGTGAGAAGGAATAAATTTCAGCCTAGGTGTCAGCTACCCAAGAGCTTGCTCTAGTATTATTCTGATTCTTGAGGCAGGGAAGGAACTCACAGAAACCCTCCTGCCTCTGCCTCCTGTAGCCATGTACCACCAGGCCCGGCAATTATGATCAACTTTACAGTAAAACAAAACTTAAAAAGAAAATCAAGAAGATGAAAAACTCCAAACAACATTCAATATGATAGAAACAGGGATTAAAAAGTGGATGCTGGCCAGGTAGTGGTGACACACACCTTTAATCCCAGCACTCCAGAACCAGAGGCAGGTGGATCTCTGAATTCAAGGCCAGTGTAGTCTACAGAGAGAGTTCCAGGACAGCCAAAAATAAAAACCTTTGGACAGCCAAACAAACAAACAAACAATGGATGCCAAGAGAAAAAAAAATAGTATGTGAAGAGAAATGAAAGAAAACCCTGGGTCTTAAAGAGAATGAAATAAAACTGTCAGAAGAGTAAAAGCAGCACCCAGTGAGAACATTGTCCCGGAAAGAAGGAAGGCTTATGACAGTCAACACTGCAGAACAGAGAGCCACTGTGGGCGTTCTGGGCTAAATGCTGGGCACAGGTGCTCAAGGTCACAGACGATGAGAAAGTGAGACTGAAAGCAGACAGCAGGTTTCCAGGCATGTGGGCAAAAGGAAAATACAGCTAAAGGGACCCTATAAGACTGACAGGAAAGGCTTCTAGCTGCCCAACTGGAAAAAACATGAGACTACCATACGGTATAACCTAAGAGATCAGAAACCGGGAGCAAAGGACATACCTAGCAACTGGATACTCTCTAAGAAACTCTCCTCAACTAGAAATCTACTCCCAGTAGACTTAAGGGTATGAAATAACTTTTCAAGACTTTAATAAAAAAAAGTCTTAAAATCTGTGTGGGATAATTTCCTTAAAGCAATGTATTGTGCTACTCGCAATAAGCTAGAGCAAGTCCCAGCACTTTACTTAGTCTAACATGAGACAAAGAGTATCTTTTTCTAAATCGCCCATTTATGAAAAATATTCAAAACTATAAGCTCCTTAAGACTCAAGACATAGTGTAACAAGCTATGAATTCTGCACACAACAGCTTCAGCAACAGAAAGTATAATAAAAAAAACCTCACCTTTAACCTACACTGAATGAAGGAAATTGTTTAAGAATTCATTCAAGATACAATAGAGGAATACTAGCATAGAGGCAAACAATTTCAAAAGCATGAATTTATTTGGTAATTTTAATACTACCCCATTATGAAAAATATACTTTTTCACTCTGATTTAATGCCATCCAATCACAGACCATTAGTGAAGCTTTCCAATTTTTAGGTATTTTCCGTAACTGCCACAAAACCAAAGTGGTTCATGTTTCAAGTTACCCTCATTTAAAGGCAGAACCTTTACATTTGTAGACACCTCAAGTGTTTCAAGCATGTCCTGATCACAAAAAATTAAATTTTAAATGTTCTTCAAAAACTAAATATTAATCCAACCTATACTCACAGCATGATTGCCAAGTAAATCAATGATGATAATCTTAAATAGAGACTACCTCTGTTTTCTTTCTTTTTTAAAATTTATTTTTACATTCATTTTGTGTGCATGTATGTGAGGATGTCAGAAGCCCTGGAACTGGAGTGACAGACAGGGTGAGCTGCCATGTGCATGCTGGGAACTGAACCTGGGTTAAGAGAGGGTTTTTCTGTAGTTCTGGAGTCTGTCCTGGAACTCACTCTATAGATCAGGCTGGTCTCAGACTCACAGAAATCTGCCTGCATGTACCTCCTGAGTACTGGGATTAAAGGCATGCGCCACCACGGCCCAACTCAGTTTGCCATTTAAAAAACAAAAAAGAAAAAACAAAATTTCTCTTATTAGGATGACAAGTTCCTGACTGGGGATGGTGAGATTTTTTTTCTATTCATCTTAATAATCTTCTAGTTTACCGTGCACACCCTGAGTAATAATGCCATAAAATGGAGACACTCAAGGAAGCTTTGTGGTAAAATTACACTAAAATGTTGTGCTTTAAACACTAGAATGTCACATAAAACTACTTTATTATTTTAAAGGACCATTTGGCTTAACAACAAAGACGTCAACACGGTAAGTTCTACTCACCCAAGCCATGAACCGTGTTGTAGTCAATGTCCGTCCCACACACATAAGCGCCAAAGTGAGCAGACGCGATCAGGAGCCCACCTGGAAAGATTACCTTAGATTATTAAAAAAACATTTTGCTCCCTTTTCAATGTGAACATGCAAGTCTGTAAACACAAAGATTTTAAAATAAACTAAAAACTGGGTTTGAATTTCAGAAAACTAAAGTGAACATATTTCACGTATGCAATACTAACTTTTAGAAGCTAAAACATGGTCTGTCATGTAATTATCTCTAGTATACACTACACATATGAATTTCTGAGTAACTTATCCAGCTAATATCATTTTTCCATTAAACAGTGCTATGGCCAAAGTAAAAATAATGTTCCAATATAAACTGACCAGACTAAGGAATATGACAGATGTGACCAGTTCAAATATGAAGGAAAAGTTCTAACAATTAAAAATTAAATGCCTTAAAATAAAAACAAATATTTTTAAAATTTTAAGAAAATTTCATACTTAAATAAAATATAGTCATTATTTTTTATTAAACTCCACATTTTTATGTATTCAAATTCAAAATGCTTTTCGTGCTTGATCAGTCCCCAGTTACAATACAGAAAGATGACAGCGGAGTAGAAATGAGAAATTCGCTTTCAGACTATAAGGTGCGCACAACCTTGGACAAAGGGCAAACTCTAGGGTTTTCCTTCCTGCCCTTTTAAAATGTAGCCTCTAAAATATAAGATGTTCAATGCCTTCATGGGGTCAAGATTTACAAATCGCATATCTACAGTAATTTAAAAATAGTCAGGGAAGAGTATTCTGAAAACACACTAACTAGTTTCCTACTGTTTCCCTTGAAGAATGCTAGCCTCAAAGCGCAGTAGAAAGCAAACCCTAGGTCTTCTCACACTAACCCCTGAAGCATTTGTGAGATGCAGTGCAAAAGAGACCTCATAGTTCTTGGTCTAGAGAAGGGGTGTCCCGTAGTCAGAAAAGTACTAAGTATTGTGTGATGGCGTGTGAGCCTCACAAGGTCATTTCACCCTAATCACAAGGCATTGCTACAATTCTGCCCATCAAGGCAGATACTCACCTAGAAGAACTAGTAGTCAAGGGAACAGAAAAGCTTCCCTGTGCTTCCTTAACCAGAACCTTATCCATTGCTTAGAGGGACTTTTGAGAAGACTCAATTTACAGTACATTGCTGAAAGGAGACGAATAAGCTGTTAGACTCACCTGTTCCCTGGTGGCTTTTTAAGCTTTTAACTTTTTAAAAATAAAATCATAATCAATTGGTTTCTCTGAATTGATCACTGGGTAATCACTGCCAGTCATCTATTGCTCTTTCAGTTACAGCAGTTTTCGTATTTTGTTATACCTTCTGTGGAATTTTCTTGGGCAAATAGGGCAGTAAAAACAGAGGGTGCTGTGTTGAGAAGGCAGGAAAACGACTCGCCCATTTTTGCTATCCAAAGTAAAATATGAATACCACAAACGGGAGTCAGACTAACACACAATGTTTCAGTTTCTTGTTACTTACACAGTAACTGTTTTAAAGTTAATGTAATATAAAAAAAAAAGACTACAATGAGTGGAATTTATTCCATACTATAAAACTTAATTTAGGAGTTTCATCTCTGGAGGGCTAAGGGGAAGGCTTTGAAACTGAGGAAATGTGAAACTAGTCTTTGGTTTTGCTAGAGGGGTGGGAAAAAGAAAAAGAGGTTGGTAATTCTGTTGCCATTACTTTTCACTCTGTTTTATCCCTCTGAAAAAAAGGACTCTAAATTCTCTAAATGAACTAGCAGTCCGAGCACTAGAATACTGCCAAAGGCAGGAACACAACTAGACCAACAACAGGATTTAGGAAAAGAGACTACAAAGAACTATGAACTACTGTAACGCAGAAAACACTGTAATGATCTACTGAGAACTACCTCCCAGTCCTCTTTTCCATACTACAGTTTCCTCTCAGGACCAAGTCACCATCCTCACCTGGACTGCAGTCTATCATCCTTGAAATGACAAGATTCAAAAGGAGCGGTAGGATTTTCCTTGCACCTAGGATCTCCCTTGGGTGGAGTCTTAGTACTTGAGAAGAGTCAAAGCTATGGCTTCAGAGCTCTAGGCCACATAAAATAGTGAACACAACTCATCTCAATCATTTTAATTATAAAAAAATTATACATTTGCAAATTTAAGCTGCAATCCCTTTGCTGCTGCAATAGCAGCAGTTTACAAATATTTTGGAAATCAACCCAAGAGGGGACTAGAAAATGAGTTCATAGTCAAACTCTTCATCATTTAGTATTAGCTATATCTAACATGTTTACCAAAAAGTATCCAAGTCCATAAAAAAGTAAAAATTAAATAATGATAGTAGCATAGTCCACTGAAGGTCTACAAGTTTTCAAATAACATTCTAACATTATATGTATACATTACCTCCCTCAATCTTTATAACATATTACTATGGCCAATTTACAATGACAGAACTGCAATCTACACATGAATTTTGTCCGAAGTCACCTTGTTGGGAAAGTAAACTCACACTATATATGCTTTTCTTTATACTCTAGTATCTCCTCTAGCTCAGCACCAATTGAAGTTAAAAAAATATATTAGTTTATATTGCACTAAATTACTGGTATAGATTTAGCTGTCAAATGCCCTTCACAGATGAGTATGCTTAAGTGTTGGTTCTCATGGTGGTTTTATCAGAACTCTGTCTGGCTTAGAAGAAGGGCCTTTAGCCAACAGGGTTACTCTAATGAAGAGGATTATAGAACCCAGACCTTCCTTTTGCTTCTTGGCTATGAGATTAGCAGCCAATTCTACTCTGTGTCCCTTAACACTGTCTTGACATCAAACAAGAGCCTACAAGCAATGATCTGCCTACCTAAAAGTAAAAAGCAAAAAATAAACTCTTTTCTTTGTAAATTCTATCATGTATTTCATTATAGTAACAGAAAGTTTATTAGCATACCAGCTAGATAAAATAGAAGTACATTGTTTTACTAAGCAAATTAGGTAAAACTATGTATCCAGTTCATAATAGTTCACACCAACATAGGTGTTGTATATTTTCATGCTAACCTTAATAGTGTACTTTTTGACCACCGAGAGTGGACCCAATGGGATGTTTCCTCTCTACTCAGAAAATGAAAAAATGTAGTATTTTAAAGGTGACTTAAATGAGAATATATTTGCCAAAACAGAAAGGAAAGTGCATTTCTGCAGGTCAGAATATAACTCCAAGCAGCAGCAAACTGTCTAAAAGAAAAGGGAAAGATGTTTCAGCAAGAAAAGATATCAACGTGCTCTGCAGCCCTGAGAACAACTGCAGCCATGACTAGTTCAATATTAATTCATTTGGGAAACTGCACACATTTTGGTCTGGACCATTAAAAGAGACACACTTGAATTAAAAACAACAACAACAAAAGAGACCCTAATATATGGAAGTCAAAGGTAAAACCATCATCAAAGAGGATGGAAAACCTATGGGCTTGGAGAAGGCACAGGGCTACTCGTCTAGTCCTTTCCAAGACACAAGCTGTCTGTGAATCAGTTCCATGAGGAAACCAATGACCCTTGAAGGTTTCTGTTCAAAATTAGGGGTTATAACCAGTTTAAAGTTAGAAGTGTCAAAAACTGACTTATATCCTAAAGCCAAATTTAAACCATAAACACGGATTGTGAGAATATATTTTAGTGGTATATCTTCTAAAGATTCACCTATCACTTGACCTTCCTCTTCTATGTGAGCAGTGAGATGGCCCGTCCACAGCAGGAAGCCATGCACAGCAGGGAGCCGTGCACAGCAGGAAGCCGTGCACAGCAGGAAGCCGTGCACAGCAGGGAACCGTCCACAGCAGGAAGCCATGCACAGCAGGGAGCTGTGCACAGCAGGGAGCCAGGTATCCTTACCCCTCACCATGCACAAGGTAGCCAGGACCTCGACTGCTGTGAAGTGGAATTTCACAATACTCCTAGGCTCAACTGCATCAAGAGCACAATCCCTTTCCTCCCCTACTATGACAATGTTCTTTTTAAACTCTGGTCGAACCTAAGTGTGCAAAAATATTACATAATTCCAAAGACCTGTTTTCACTTCATAAAAAGGGCTGGTTTGTTTGTTTGTTTAAAGGTTTAAGAGTGAACCAAGAAGATGGCTTAGTGGGTAAACTGATGGTGGCAGAAGCTTGATTACTTGAACTGAATCCCTGAAACCCACATAAAGGTGGAAGGAGAACCAACTGACTTTCATATACCTACAGTGCCATGACTGCACCCAGAAACATACATCACATGCACATGCATGCACACTTATGTTTACACACACACACAGAGCCATTTTTATTCTCTTCTGTACTTTTAATCCATACATGTATTCTATACTTTGTTCAAATGATCTCCTATACATAGCTGGGTACTGGTAGTTTCCAATATTTTATACTTGAAAATAATGCTTACAATGAGCAATTACATATATATGTGTGTGCATGTATGCTTGTAATTTACAGGCTAGAGCGCTCGTGTAAATTTCGGGAAGTAGGATTGCTAGGTTAAAGGGAATATGTTAAAAGGAGAAAGAGAAACCACAATAAGAAATAAAATTTTTAAACCTTAAAAACAAAATAAAAGTTAAGAGCTAAGCTTCTAGAGAAAGACAAATCATGACCATTCATCACATCCAAAAGAATAAACCCCAAATGGATCAGAGTTCTAAAACAAACAAACAAAAATATAAACAGCTTCAAAGGGACTAGAAAAAAGTATAGTTGAAGCCTTTATAGCTTGAGAAGAGGGAAAACTTACAATGCAAGAAAGCAAATGCTGTCAAAGTAAATGACAACAATATGGAAGGAAGTATTGTGATTTATTACAGAAATACTGGAAGAGAAAGGCTAATATCTCTATAAAGTATCTTTACATAAGGCAGGAGGCAAAAGACATAAAACTCTAATCAAAAATACCTGTATAATGGCCCTTAAAAAATGGCAAGACAATTTATTTTTTATACATTTCCACCTAACAAATCAGGAAAACTACAAAAGCTTAAGAATATATTTTTTAGTAGTAGACTTGCAGAACAAGAACTCTTACATGGCTGCAGAAATCCAAAGCTGAATAGTAGAGAATTTATTTAGTAGCATCTAGCAAAATTACATATTCCATTTAACTTAGCACTCCTATTTCTCGAAATTTACAACAGAGCTCTAGCCTCAAAATTACAAAGGTAGGTGTGTGTGTGTGTGTGTGTGTGTAATATATTCATATGATTGCTCATTGTAAGCATTATTTTCAAGTATAAAATACTGGAAACTACCAGTACCCAGGAATGTATAGGAGATCATTTGAACAAACTATAGAATACACGTATGGATTAATACTACAGAAGACAATGAAAACGGCTGGAATGTAGCTCAGTAACAGAGTGCTTGTATTTTCTCTAGTACCACATACAACAAAAGAATGGGGACAATATCTGAACAGAAAAAGACTTCTAAGAAATACTGTTAAATGGAAAACAACATCAACAAACAAAAAAACCAAGAGACAACATGTGGAGTATCAAACACTTTATATAAAAAAAAGTACGAATAAGAAATTGTACCTACATAAGCGTTTCACTAGGAAAAGAAAATAGAATCAATTAGCAAACAAGGTTGTTCACCAAAACCAGAAACAAAAAGGAGAGCACATTTTTTTTTGGTTTTTCGAGACAGGGTTTCTCTGTGGTTTTAGAGCCTGTCCTGGAACTAGCTCTTGTAGACCAGGCTGGTCTCGAACTCACAGAGATCCGCCTGCCTCTGCCTCCTGAGTGCTGGGATTAAAGGCGTGAATTCTGCTTGTGTAAATGTCAACACAATAAAAAGAAGTAACAGCAGGAACAGAAGGCAGAGATCTAATGGAGCCAAGTGACTTTCAAAAGAAGAAAAAAGCAAGCACAGAATTTGACTTTAGAGCTCCTTAAGCATGGACCGAAGCGAAAATATATCTTAAGTTGTTTATGGTAGGTGTGGTAGTTTGGATGAGAAATCCCCTACAAACTCAGATTATTTGAATACTTGGTCCTACTTGGTGATGCTGTTTGGAGATGTTTAGGAGGTTCAGTTTGCTTGAGGAAGATGTCACTGGGCACGGGCTTTGGGAGTAGAAAGTTTTGTCTATTTCCAATTTGTTCTTTCTGCTTGGTAGTTACGGTAAAAGATGTGAACTCTCAGCATCCTTGTTCCTGCCACCTGCTGCCACACTTTCCCATCAGGATGGATTCCTATACAACCACTGAGTCCAAACAAACTCTTCCACCATGACTTGCCTTGGCCATGGCGTTTTATCAGAGCAACAGCGAACAAATAGGATTCTTTCCCCCCAGTGGCATCGGCAAAGAATCCTGACTATTTAAGAAAATTACAGAAATAAGCAAAAGAGCAAACATGCTGAACATAAGAACTGGGATTCTCCCTGAAGAGAAAGGTAAACATCAACAGGACTGGAACAGGGAGGAAACGAATCTGTGGTCATCAGCAGAAATATCTGCTACCTGTGTAAACCCATGATTTCTAATAAGTCTATGTGTAGGCTTACATGTGTGTATATGCATGTGTATTTCCATTTGCCGTAGCATGTATAGTACATTTATACACATGTGTATTCTTTGCTTACCCTCGGAGAAGTTTTAGAACCTAAACTTGGTTTTTGATACCATCTCCCCACTAAAAGAAACAAGGAGAAATGACTGATACCAGGGCTTTGGTATGAAAAAAAAAAAAAAGTAAGCCAGAAATTTTAAAAGTTCTCTAAGGGGGAAAAAAGTGACAGGTCACAAAGACAGACTCAGTGTGAAAGGAGTAGGCAGAGCCAGGCTCACAGCGAATTGGCCCAATGGCTAATAGCTAATAATGAAGGGTATCAGGACTTCTACATCACCTGACACAAAGGGACAAACTTAGTAGTTCCTGTTGATAATAAGTGAAATTAGCAACAGAAAGAGAAGAAGTGCTGAAGTGGAAAAATCATCAAGGAAAAGACTGATTGAAACAAGAATCTTGCCACTGGATGCTAAATCTGACTTGACAAGATGAAGAGACACCTGGATAAGAAGCAGTATATTTACAAGCTCTTAATGTATCTCCTACAAATGCTTTAGATTAACTGCAAGAATATAAAATATAACAGTAACTAACCATCACATATGGAAAATCAAATTCAATTGGTACCATGCTGAAAAAAATTAGTATTAATACTGAGGCAGAGAAGCAGGGTATGCAAGACGTAACATCTCTAGTGGGAATGAATAACCCATTCTAAGGAAATTCAAACCACTCAAATGAAAACTATTTTAATCTTAAAAGTGTTAATAATGTTCCAAATAAAAACGACTTTAACAGTAAAACACAACACCCAACTGCAGAATATAAATAAATGCAAATATATATAAAATTCTTATTCTTAAGAATGTATACTGATGTCTTTGAGAGAGGAAGGTAAAACATGTAATGCTCAGGGGCTGAAGAGATGGCTCAGGGGTTAAGAGCACTGGCTGACCTCCCAGAGGACCCAATTCAGTTCCCAGCACACACATGACGGCTCACAACTGTCTGTAACTCCAGTTCTAAGTGGATCCAACACCGTCAACAGACATACATGTAAGGCCAAACATAAATGAATAAATATTTTTTTTAAAAAAAAAGTAAATGTAACCTTCAAATGATTCAAGAAAAAATATAAATAAAATAAAATGATAAGGTAAAAGAAGCCAAATATTAACAAGAGCTTAAGCTGGGATTGGATATGTGGATATTATTTGTTCTTATAATTTGTAAGTAAACTTGATATTGGTTCCAAAAGCAAGCTCAAAATGTGAGAATGTGTTTAGGGAAATGAAGGTAGAGAAGAACAAACTAGCATACTGAGAGAGGGGTCCACGGAAACATGCCAAAAAGAGCACTGGTGAATTAGCTCAAAACAAATTACAAAAATTTCTTCCACCCCTAGGAACTCTAGACCTGATGCCACTTCTTCCTAATCACATTTGGCCACACTCCTGAAGTTAATTTAGGTGCAAGTAGTGGCCAGTAAACTTTATACAGAGAGAGACAGTTCTGCAGAAGCAACAATTACATGAACTACTGGAGTCTGATCACAAAAGCGATATACTGGGTAACCCTGACCACGTCATATAGCCTCTCCTTGCATCGCAATTTCCTCAGGAAGACTTCAAAGTGTCTTCATACTGGTTGTCATCAGTATTAGAGAACAATATAGTACTGACCCACAGATTCAACAGGCACTGACCTTGAATCTCCACTGCTCCCAAGACAGCTGTGGTGACACTAACTAAACAACAGTGGGTTTTGTCAGATAAAAGTTAAATAAGAGTATTGCCTGCCTAAGGGCTACATCAAACAAGAAAGCAATCTGAGAAAAGGAAAACGTCAGAATCAGATGAAGTCAACTTGGAATTTCAGGCTTTCCATAGACTTAATAAGGAGAGCATCTCAGGGAAGTTCAGAAGAACGTGGGCTCTGGTGTCAGCAAGCAGACTCGAGACTATGGTGACTTAGTCACCTTTAGTTACACTTACTCAAAAACTCCCACAAACAGAATCAAAGATATGTTTTTCCTCTATCCAAATACATGGCTATTTATTTAAAAGCATGAGTATTTTCTGTTTTGTTTTTTTCATTCTTTCCGTAAGAGTTTTCCTAATTAAATAAATACTATGATTCTATACGTCTCTACAAGATATGATATGCTGTAAGACATCTGTGAAAAAATAAGCCTGATGCTCCCCCCAGTGGCTTACTTGGAATAAAACCCACAATATTCTAGTCACATCCATCAAATGACAAAGTGTTAAATATGAACTATTATACAAGAAAAGTTAGTCAAGTCAATCTCTCATCCAAAGCATACTATAACCTTCACTGCTATAAATAAGCAAAATCTATGCATTAGTGTAACAAATAGACTTATATACCTGTTCCAACAAATGGATCAAAGACAACATCATTTTCTTTCACTTTTGCATGGTTGGCCATGATGAACGATAAGCCAGCATCCATACTTGTATTTCCAATAAAATGTCTCTTTTTGACACTATATGACTCAATTAGCTCTCTTTGCCCATCTGCAATCTAGATCAGAGATTTTTAAAAGTTAGTCTAGCTATACAGAACAGACTCAAGATAATTATTCACAATAAAAATGATAGCACCTTGCTAATGAGAACTTTTTCCCACTTATTACTGTTCTAAACTTAATCCTTCAAAAAAATCACAGGACTGAGACCGTTACAGTCAAGCTTTTTACTTCTCTAATGCCTTTCCAGCTACTCTGCGCTTTCAAACCAAGTAGGAATCAAATATAAATATAATTATTCTAGGGCGTGGTCTTGAGTTTTCTCATTTCTCTTTTCTCTTTCTCTGAAATGACAAGCATCCATAACATGGCTCTCAGCTGCCATCCACCTATCCAGCCTCAGGACAGTAAGCAAACACTTCTATAACTCCATTTCCCTCAGAACGGAAGACACAGATTTGAGGTTTTCATGAGAGACACTGCACCGGCCCAGCACTCTGCCCTCTCTTTGTCTCACTAAAACAGTACCCCTGACATTCTGGGAAATCTTGTTTCCACCATCAGGTGTTACCTCCATTTCCTAGGTCGTCTCTAACAAGCTCCTTATGTTTCACAGAAATCTCTGAAAAATACCAACTATAATCACATGCTTTTCAGCAATTTTAAAAATAAAGCAGTTCTGATTCCAGTTGCTTCCAATTTTTACATATAAACAAAATCAAATACAAAGGTAGGCATGGTATCTGTTTTGACCAGAGCTCTACCACTGATCCCCATTCCCACCCTGCATTTAGCTTTCAAAGAAAGAAGTAAGATAGGTGGAAGGAACTTGCTTACCCATCTACCAAAATAAATATTATGAGGAGTCTCAGGGATGCAGTTTGGGTCCAAACCATAGTCCTCCAAAACAGAGAATACATGCTGTGGTTTCTTTAAGTTCACTTTTCCTTCAAATGGCAGAAATTCAAGGGCCTAAAAAAAGAAAGAAAAGTAATTTGTCAATAGCCTTTTAAGAGAACGGCCAAAGAGAATGGCACCAATGCTGTCAACTACATCCATATAAAACCTGAGAAAGCTTGGAAAGGAATTCTAGACACAAAAGAACAGAGGTAAGTATAACATTTTTCAGATGGGCTATTTGCTGGCAGCGAGCAGAGGCACCATGACTCATAAGAGGCTTTTATACATAAAGCAAAATAAAATAGTCTACAATCCCAGAGAGCCTAGATAACAATGAGGACACTAAGAGAGACTTACATAGACCTAATGTACATGGAAAGTAGAAAAAGACATGATCTCCTGAGTAAATTGGGAACATGGTGACCATGGAGGGGAGGGGAGAGGCAGGGAGGGCAGCAGAGAAAAATGTATAGCTCAATAAAATCAATTTTAAAAATAGGAAGAAAAGGGGCTGGAGAGATGGCTCAGTGGTTAAGAGCACTGCCTGCTCTTCCAGAGGTCCTGAGTTCAATTCCCAGCAACCACATGGTGGCTCACAACCATCTGTAATGAGATCTGGTGCCCTCTTCTGGCATGCGGGCATACATGGAGGAAGAATGTTGTATACATAATAAATAAGTAAATATTTAAAAAAAAAATAGGAAGAAAAAAGAAAAGGCTTACCAACTCAGCATAAGAAAAGGCAGATTCTGACTCTTTCAGGAGACTAAGCATTTGAATAGTTTGTGAGCAGAGTGCTACAAATTGCTTAATGGCAGCATAGACCCACTGTGTGCCTTAAAATGGGGCTGTGAGCATGGCTTGCAGAGTTGGAGCTGAAAGGACCTCTGTCATGTTGGACTAGGCAGAACCAAAGGCAAAGCAGCCTTAGTTCTAACCATGACACTTAACATTTAAAAAAGCGCTCCTGGTCAAAAAAATTAATTACAGATACGCACAGAATTAAGACAAATTAAAATAAAAAAGACCTCTAAATGGGTCACAGTGTTGGAAAAATGTACACAGGCTTAGGAAAAAGAGTATAGACAGTTATAATATAAAAGGGTACAGTCATAGACTAAAGGAGTAAAGATAATAACCATTAAACTTGCAGAAAAAGTAATGGAGTAAGAAAAAATAAGCCATGTAAAGATGCAATATACACAGAGATTATGTATAATATTGTGTTTTCTTTGAATTTTTTGACTGTGAGTAAGCTAAGTACAGAGAGACATTTGATTCTGGGGGCTGCTAAGCTAAACCAATATATATGTTTTAAAGGTATCTAGACTTCAAAATTTGGGTCTAAGTATATGTTGCTTTGGAAAAAAGGTTCTGCTTTTGTTTCCACAAAAGATGAGGAACCTGTGGATTCCTTCCAGACTAATGTGATTTGATGAAACAAGAAGCCCTGAAAGGTATCTGTGAACCACCAAAAATTCTTTCCCAACAAAAAGCAGGAAGCAGTTAGGAAAGAACTATGCCCAAATTCCCAAATACTGTTTATAAATGTTTGCTTACATTTAAAGAGGGATATATTATAGAGATGAATATTTTGCACTGATCTGTATCTTGGTCTAATTGATACAAACTTAAGATCAATTTTGTTTTATATATATATATATATATATACATTCTTAAAATATTGTATTTGTGCAGCTCATTTAAAATGCAATGCATAATTAAGAAATACAAGTTAATAGATAGTCATCTATAAAATTAAGCTTGAAATCATGTTAGTTAGGTTTTCTAGATATACAGAGATATATTTCAGGGTAGCTATTTTTCAAATCTTTCAAAGACTTACAGAATATGGCATTTAAATGTTTTAAAAACTTAGGACTTTCCATGACGAGACACATCTGCTCCTGGCAGCACCATTTACTTCAAGAGGAAGATGGGCATCGAAGAGGCTCCTTATGAAGTTGGTTAGCCATTTGGGCAAGAAACTGCTTTTACCTGGAGTGCTTTGATGTTATGCTGTATGACCTGGACATACAGGACCCACAGAAAAATGACTGCTAAACTTGCCTAAACTAAAGGTGAGATGGTTCTTTGGGGTTCCTGCTTCATCAAAGAGTCTGCCAGACATTCTGCAGGACACAGAAGAAAGCGACTGACAAAATGCCAGTATAGGTGGAACTCTCTTTGAAATATCCTGCTTCATGGAAAAGTGTGCTGGATACTATGGGCCTGTAGGCTGAAGATGGATGCCCCTACAGTACAGAAGAATTTTGGGTGGCCGTCCAGGCAGCGAGATGTCTCTGTCAATTCTAGAGTTTTGGAAGTTGCTTATAATGTACTTCCTGTTAACTCCAGTAATATTATATCCTTCTGGGGCCTTTGATGGAGTTGAAGACTAGATAGTTATAGTTTTCCTTAGTTATGATAAAAGATAAAGTAGATTTAAGTACTGTAACTGTAATTTTTGGTTGATAACTATTTTGTTGTATGTAATTTTGCCATGCTAAAGTTAAAACCTTCCTCCTTTATCAGACAGAAAAGGGAAGGTGATGCAGGATCCCCTTCTGTATACTGTGAATATGTTTTATTGTCATTGGTTAAGAAAAAAAGCTGTTTTCAGCCAATGGCTTAACAGAGTAAAGTCAGGTGGGAAATGCAAACAGAGAGAGACAGACAGACAGACAGAGAGTAGGCAGAGTCAGGGAAACACCATGCAGCCTCCGGAGGAGAAAGACATCCCTCTCACCTGCCAGTAAACCACAAGCTTCATGGTAAAATAAAAAAAAAAAAAAATACAAATGGGTTAATTTAAGATGTAAGGGCTAGCTAGAAATATGCTTAAGCTACTGGCCAAACAGTATTGCAATTAATATATTTTCTGTGTGATTATTCCAGGTTTGGGCAGTCGGAAATGAACAAGCAGCCTCTGCCTAAAAATTCTAATGTACTACAGGAATTTATAAAAAGAATTATAGAAAACAGTGCTTATCTAGTAATACATGCTGTGTGGGTCTGATGTCACAACATACATAACACAGAAAGCCTCAACAGACATTACATATTCACATATATCAACAGCTAGAGTATATTTAGTCCACGGGCTTCGGTTCAGCTAATTTCACTTACATCTATTCGTTTGACTTTTTCTTCTTGAGTCAATGTTTTATTAAATGTATGAATCTTTATTTTATATGTAGACTCTGAATGTAGAAATGGAACCTAAAATAGAAGCAGATAAATTTTGTAAGCATATGCATTCTACAGAACAGACACACATGCCTACGTAAAATCACATTTCACTACGCACCATCTTCTCCACAGGGTAATTTTTAAGAGAAGTATACAGCTCCTCAGGAGATTTTCCATGACCCCATAGTTCAAATATAGACCTAGGAAATAAATGGTTGGTACTAACCTCAGTAAAGAACTTAGTTCACACAGCAATACATAATAGTTATTTTGCTAGTTCTTTATGCTTGCTACAATAAAACCATCATTGGCCATGCTTTCTCATCTATTCATGAGAAATGCGTATGCTGGAAACAACAATATAACCCCAAACCATACAAAGAAGCTGAACCTGATATGAAAGATGGGAAATCCAACATTAAATTAGGGAGTTTTCCAATTTTTCATCATTTATCCACATACATAAATATATATGCATATATTTGAGGGGGGCCAGGGACTGAGCACAGGGTCTTATGTGTGTTAAGCATGCTGTCAATCACTGAACTATACCCGATGCCTTTTTTATTATATACTATACTGGATAATATAAACATTGCAACAAAATCTCATGGCACTGTAAGAAAAGCTGCAGAAAATCAAAATTTTCTAAACACTTTCCCCATTAAAAAGGGGAATGGTAAGCAGAAAGAAAAACATATCATTACTATTTAGTTATCATTTGTTAAAATTTACTACACAACTCAAAACGTTGAGCTCTAATAAAGTGAGTACCTAGGGTTTGCTATATGTTTCATTTTGTGGAATATACAAAATATTCCATTTGAAAGGGGCTGGAGAGATTGCTCAGTAACTAAGAGAGCTTGCTGCTCTTGCAGGAAACCTAATTTGGTCCCCAGCACCCACATCAAGCAGCTTACAACCATCAATAACTATAGTTCCAGGGATCCAAGTCTATCTTCTGGCCTCTGAGGGCATCTGCACACATGTATACATTCAGGCAAAGAGATATGTATATAAAATAAAAATACATAAATAAATCTTCTAAAAATCCTTACTACAACAATTTTAATCTAATTTTAAGCCTAACTCAACCTCAGAAATTTTTGTTTTTAATGTTTTTAATATGACCTTGTATGTCTAGTTTATCTGTAGGTTGCATATACAATCTTTGAAAGTGAATTCCTCTTCTGTTGAATTTAGAGCAAGCAAGTAATGCTACTCTTACTTAGCAGTTTCTTTAGGAGTAGCTCAACCACAGAAATAAAGAACAACTAAAAGGAAAATGTTATATATTTTACAGTATTATACAATTATTCATTTTACTACTTATCAAAGATATGCATCAAAAGAAATGAGCTTTCAACATATTTTTTTTGAGTACTCAAGTAGCTATTTTAAATGTAATATCCCTTACTTCTGGAATTCAAAAACTTCAAACAACCATAAAATAAAGTGGCATACAAATAGTCGTTTTTACTTTTGTTGTTATTGTTTCCATTTTCTAGTCATTTATATTTAATAATAAGATCTTTAACAAGCTGAAATTTAAGAAATTAGATTTAAAATTATGCATCCTTCTAAACAGGAAAAAGATAAATATGGAGGTGACCGTCATACTATAACATTACAAAACATTGCTATATTCTTTTCATTCCATTATTAAAAACAAAATCTAAGGAAAAATATTTCAATAATCTTTCATTATATTCAGGGAAAATTGCAACTAAGTGCCAATCAAAAGAATTTAAAGAAAAGAGAAATAAGGGAGGCTAAAGATAAAAATCTAGAAACAAGAATGAGCAATGAACAATTTATTAAAAAATATGCTTGTTAGAATTCATTTCTCAACTGGGCAGTGGTGGTACACACCTTTAATCCCAGCACTCATGCATGGGCAAGTGGGTCTCTGTGAGTTTGAGAACAGCCTGGTTTACAAAGTGAGTTCCAGGACAACCAGAGCTACACAGAGAACCTCATCTCAAAATACCAAGGGAAAAAAAAAAAGAACTCATTTCTTTAACAAATATACTTCATGACAGTTCCCACATTTTAAAAATTTAAATTTACTAATCTGATCAACTGAAAATCGAAAATAAGAAAAGCAGTTTTAGATTTTGTAAGACTTGGTGACACTAAGTGCAGCATTCCTTCATATCCATATTCATTCTATGTAAGGGTATGTCATTCCAGGGTCCTCCCACCGCACATGCAAGCGTCCGTCACCTCAGCTCCAGAAGGAGACTCTGTGAATCTATGTAACTCGGGCTAAGATGATCCCCCTCCACGACCACCCTCCCAGCCTCTACCTCCTTCCCCGGCACAGAACAGAGAGTGGGTGTGAGCCCGTGTGTGGCATGCAGCACAACACGAGGGGTTTCTCTTACTTGGCACACACTGTCCGTTTCATTAAGTTTCTGGCAATATCTTCAGAGGGAATGTTAAGAATCCAAAATGGAGACTGAAAGAAAAAAAAAAAGCATGCAAATTATTAAAAGGCTCCAAGGTCTAATACACATTGATTCAGAAAGACAATGGGAGAAATTCCTACGTGTCACGTAAAAATACCTGATCTGACTCTGACCAAAATAAGAATCATTCGGATAAGAAAATGATAAGTTACTTGTAGATAACCTGTTAATAAATTACATTGTAAGAAAACTCTTATAAATGACTGTATAAATGAAAATGTCAGTACACTTTAAATTTACTTTTAAAGATAAAAACCTACTTCCTATGTATTTATGTATTCCAGATGGGCCTCATATTCAGTGTGTCAAGAGCCTCCTGCCTCCACCTCAAAGTCCTGAAATTATAAACCTGCGTGCAACATCTGGATTAAGATGACTTTTCATTTGCCTTTATGAACTTTGACTAGAAAACTAATGCATATATGGCATATATTACTGGAAGTTTTGTTATTACTAATCACTCCTTATAATATCATTATTTTAACTTCTAAGTATATTGCCTTGATTTATTCCCTAATTACTAAATCTCACCTCCCTTCCCCCCCTTTCCTTGCTCTCTATATGGTTTGCTTTTTGTTACCTGACACACCTAGCTGCCTCCATCAGACTGGCAGGGGGTTAAATCTCAGGGACATTTTCTTGAGAAATGATGGATATGGAAGGGTCCACCCCACGGGGAGCTGTGCCGTCCAGGCAAGTGGTCCTGAAGTGTGTAAGAAAGCAAGCTGAGCAAGTCAGTAGGCAGCATTCCTCCATGGTCTCTGCTCCAGTTCCTGTCTCCAGGTCCCTGCCCTTTTATCCCTCCACGATGGACTAGAATCAGGCTGTAAAGCCAAATCAATCTTTTCCTCCATGACTTGATTTTGGTCCTTGGGTTTATCACCACAACAGAAACCAAACTATGTCAACCCCCCTCAAAGACAAAGTCCCACTAAGTCGCCCACGCTAGGATCAAACTTGTCACTTTCCTGTCTTAACTTCCCAGGCGACAGAATTAAGGGGTATGCCACCATGCTCACCCTGGTCACCCATTTTCTGGATAGCTGTGGTCTGAGGCATCCTGTGAATTAACAGTGACGTAAAGTCATGGTGTCTATACATTGCTACTAATTTTAATTATTTTATTTAAGGGGGAAAGCTTCAGATGTATCAGCAGGGGTTTCTTAGTCCTCTGTCCCCAAAAACGAACTGGTAAGCTCCACCCTTACAGCCCCTTGTCAGAACCTGGCCAAGCACAGCACTGCTCTCTCACACATCGTATCCATACTCTCCCCTCCATCCTTCTTCGCAAAGGGAAGGAGTCACTCTGAATTGCCATCACAGAAGACTTCTATTTAAGGACTGATTTCAGGCTTCCTTTGTTCTCTGAAACTATGAAGCTCCCATACTGGAACATGAAACTTGGGGTAGCCTGAATCTGTGTTCCCAGACCATGGTCACTTAAATAGGCTCCAAAATATATACCTATTCCCTTTGAAAGAAAAAAAAAATTCATCTTACCTTTCCATAAGTTTCCTGACTGTTAATGAACTGGCCTCCAAAAAGTGATAGTAAAGACTTTATTTCCTGTATTGAAAATACAGAGAAAATACATATTGTTATTGTGTATTTAAGAAATGTCCCCCAATGTTTTAAATCTCAGCCCTTGGCTTGTGGAGCCAGGGATGACTGAGTCCATCACTAAGGGGCAGGATTTGAGGATGATTTCAACTTGCTCACTTTCTCCGGCCTGTCAAGTGAGCAGGCTGCTTCCCCACGATCCTGCCACACACTAAGCCACTCCACCATGCCTCAACTATACTCTCTCAAGCCAGGAGTCAAAACAAAGCTCTTCCATGTGGTTACTTCCGGCAGCTACTTCATCACACCACCAAGAAGAGCGACTTTACACTCAGCCTGCTAAGAAAAACAGGTCTAATAATAGAAATAAAAGAGTAGGCTGATCTCTACTTGAGGCATTGAAGTTTCAACATCAGGCAATTGGAATGTGAAGCTCTGAGGAGATTTGTATGGTCCTAACCATGATTAAGCAATTTCTGAGAAATTTTTATATAGGAGCTGCAAAAAGAAACTGTCCTGTCCTGGTTTGGAGAGGGAGAAAACATTTACAGATGCTATAGGTTAGTAAATAAGACAAACAACTAAGCAAAATAAAATCAATTATTAAACATGATTTCAAGATGTTTGGAAAAGAAATAATTAGCTAGGGACCATAATTGTGAATTCTGTATGGATGAGTACAAGGTTAACTTCCTTTCGCAATAGGAATAAAACTAGAAAGGACTAATACAGTGAGTCTTTTATTTTTGTGTGCTTATTTTTTGAGACAGAGTCTCAACGGCTGCTGTGACCTCCTGATTCACCTGCCTCCATTTCCCAAATGCTAGGATTGCAGGAGTATGCCACCACACCTGCCCACAGTAGAGATTTTAAATGTAACACACATGCAAAGGGGAAATCTGATCAAATAACACAGAGATTCTTTGAAGGAATCTCTTTGGACTGACAAACACAGAATGACTATACAAAGAGTTTGCCTCTTAACACTGAAAATTTGTTTCCTTCAATAGCAAATGAATTCTATTCCTCTACGTTGGCCCTATGGCGAAAGGAACTAAGGAGAAGTTAAGTGACCCTGCTGCTGGCTGCCAACAGTCTCCTCTCCTTCCTGCCAGAAGGTCTTAACACCCAGCCCAAAGCCATCAGCAGAGAAAGACAGTCACATCATCAAATTGTCCATTCCAAACCAAAAGGAATGGGAGATTTGACAAAAAATGCTACTTCTAGTTTTCCTTTGGCTATGCATCACATTGTTTCTTGCATTAGAAAGGTATGAGTTTTAGGAGGAATTGGAGGTGAATCCAATCAAAACAAATTGTATGAAAATTTTAAAGAATAAAAATATTCTGAAGAGGTGAGTGTGTGTGTGTGTGTGTGTTTGAGAGAGAGAGAGAGAGAGAGAGAGAGAGAGAGAGAGAGGTAAGTTCAAGTCAAACATGTGAATGAATCACAAATTAGTACAGACGATGGGTAAATCAGTGAAGGTAGCCTGAAGGCTTCTTTACAGGAATAACACACATTTGCAGAGGAGACATTATAAAACATGAGAGTAAGACTATAATTTGATTTTCAGATCTTCAAAATACTACCACATCCTTGGACTCTCCATTCCTTCCCATGTACATTATCACAGCTACCTGGGGTAGGATGTCCCTAAGCCGAGCTCAGCACAGAAATGTAGGTATCATGGCAATAAGATGGTGGTGACTGAAGCTCTCCGCAGGTCTATTCCCTAGTCCCCTCAAACAGTAACTAATCTTGTCCTTTCCCCTCTCATATTCGGATATTCGTGAAGTCTGCCTTATTCCCCTTTCCGCACTATTATCTTTTCAGAGAGTAACCTTTTTAACCTCAAAGTACATGCATTCAATACTATTCATTTCTGCTCGCTAAACCTTCACTCTCTCCTTGTGTTTGAGGCTCTAATGTTTGGGATGGTGAGTGGTCTCCTCTTCCAGTTTTCCTTTAATGTCAATGCTTCCAAGCATTTGTACTTGGCCCACCACTCAAAAAACAAATAAAACAAACAAACACAAAAAACCTGTGTACACTTAGAAAACTAAGAAAGGTTTGATGGTCTAGAAGTGTGGGTTCTCCCCATAGGTAGGGTTATAGATACCTGTGAGCAAGATTCCTGATAGGGGTACTGGTAATCAAATTTGGGTTCTCAGGATGAGCAGTGAGTGTTCTAACCAGTGAGCCATCTCTTCAATTCTATTGTCTCACCACTTTCAGAACTTACACTTGAAAAAAATCCCACCTTTTTGTAGTTTTCTTATGCAAAACAATCACAAATATTTATCATAAGTCTAGATTTGTTCGCATCTCCCACACTGCAATTCTATCCTGTCCTGATTGCTCACCACTAGGTTACTTTCTTAAACATTTCAACAGATTCTTAAGCAGTCACAACTCAAGTCTTATTCCTCCCAAGTCCATCCTTCATTTTGCTTTCTATTAAAAACAATCTAACTCTGCCTCTTTTAACCTCTTTAATCCCTCTTCCAAGTTATAGAGTTCTCAAGTCTGCTTTTTCTGGTCCATCAACCTACTTCTCTCCTGGCCACGCTCTGCCACGCAACTGGTGACCAGTAAATGAACAACAGTTTACACTTCTAGTGTACCTACTTCCTCAGCCCAGCTAAATAATCCTGTCGTTCAATGTCACCTCTTCACGGAGGCCACCATGTAAGTCCCCATCCCTCAGTGGACAAGACTGCCTTTTTAAAAGCTCCCATCTATCCTTACTGGGCACCCCATCACTGCATTAACAACGTTACAATTGTGCTTAGGTGTCTGCTGGCCCTTAGCCTAAATGAACAGTAGGCTCTTTGAAAGCAGGGCTGTCAGTCAGCACATCCTCGCCTCCCGGAGCACGCGATTACACGCGCTTTGGAAAACGTTTCTTGAATAAACAAAAAGCTGTTTCCCAACTTCATCAAGTACTACCCTCAAGCTTTTCACCATGCCTGAACTTCATATTCTGATACTTCTCACACTCCCCTGAGCGCCCTCATGGGACGTCTGTGTCCTCGGTCGGACGAGAAGTCCTGGGGGCCTGATCAGGTTCTCCTGCTTAACTGCGGCGCCAGGCTCACGTGCAGAGAAATGAATGACTTGGTTTGGTCCTGGAGAAAGATCCCCTGAGCTATCTCATCCCACCAGCGACCTCATCCCCCCGCCCCAAGCCGGGCGCGCGCGGCTGCCCAGAGACCCCCAATCCAGCGAACGAGGGAGTGCGGGTCTCTGCGTCGGGTACCCCAGGACGACTCACCGGCAGGCGGAACTCCAGGTGCTCCTGTGCCATGAGCAGCAGATACCTATTCAAGGAGCCCGGCACCGCCATTGCAGCGGCTGCCGTGCGCCTGCGCGGCTTCTGCGGGCCCGCCCCTTTTTCCACCAAGGAGCGAAGTTTCCGCAGAAGCCGAACCGAGGACCGGAAACGGAAGCTGGGCCAGGAGTGCACAGGCCTGATAGCGTCTTGGGATCGGGATGGAGGGGGGGGGGGGGGGGGGGGGGGCGAGCTAGAACGTGCCTTCTCCAGAGGCCGCGCTATCTTGCGCTGCCCCTTTAGTGAGAGGTACATCTTTTAAGGGCATGACTGCTATAATCCCGCAGTTCCCAGTGATGCTCCACTTGGAGTGTACTTCCGACTCCCTCCTCAACCATTCAACTCAAAATTGGACCTAAATTTTACTGTTCTGTGTAGACCCCTCTAGCTAGCCAGGATTCTAGGCCTCACCTGCACCAGGCTTTAACATTGAGTGGACTTCTTGTGATTTTGCAAAACTTGTCAAGAGCTCTCAAGGACTTTGCTTTACTCCGTATGGAAGACAACACAAACCTTTCTCAGACTAAGACTCAATAATTATGTTTTTTTACAGTCACTCCATGGTCAATGGTAAATTAAAAACATTGGCGAGGGTTGTCCTAATCATTCAGATGGGTCTAATATCAACAGTTTGTAAGACAGTGCCTCATTCTACAAGTGTGTTAACTTTTAAAAGTACTGATCCTTTGTCCTGTTGAGACCTCCATGTTGAGGGTTTTGCATTCCACCTTGACAAGAGACGATGTGTAAAAGTATCCTGCTTCTCCCTAGCACCACGTGTTACAGTCGATGCAGTAGTAGTAGAGCTCAATACACAGAGTGTGGTGATTCTCCTAACTCAAACCTCAGGTCCACTATCATTCCTATGCTCTTAGCAAAATTTGTGACTTCTCCGAGTCTCTGTTTTCTTATAAAAACTGGAATATTGCCACCTACAAATGACTGTTACAAGGATTAGATATAATATTCACACTTCAAAACATAGCCTATTGCATGGGGCCAATAAATAGCATTGAGAAAGTTTCCTTTTTTAAATGAGAATTCCTGCTTTTCTAAAAAAAAAAAAAAAAAAAAAGATTGTGTTTGTTTGTTATTGTTGCTGAAATTCCCTCACAGGGTACATGTGAGCAACATCTACCCTTTCTCCCCAAGTCTCAAGAACAAGTCAAGGCAGAGTATCACCAAAATTCACTTTGGAAACCAATGAGTTTATTGAGTTTATAGCGTATAGAGCACCATTACATCACTGTGGTGCTCCTACCCCAGTAGGCTACACCTGAAAAGTCTTTACTGAACAAGGATGAGGGCTTATCTGCAGTCAAGGAGATCGAAGTACTTCACATTTCCTGAATTTCCACTCTCTGGTGCAGTCCCTACAAACCAGCTGCCAGGACATTCTTCTGGGTCTACCTGGCTTTCTGGGTCCTTACTCAGAATATAACTATTCTTTTGTGTTTCTTTTTCTTTTAGGTGCTGGCCAGAGCCTACGTATGCATTTAAATTCTCTTAACAAATGTTTTGAGCTGCTCTGCTCTTTTCCTAAAGCTCCTCTCCCAGCAGTGTGACTGCCTCCATGTGACAGACCTCCTGTCTCTCCAGAGTGACTTCAAGACTTGCAGCTTGCCTGCCCTGGAGTTTTCTTTTGAAAGTTCAACAGTCAAGCTTCTGTTTGAGCTTTTTTTTTTCTCCTCAAGCTTCCGTTTTTGTCTGTCCTTCAATTCTTTTATTAATGAAACCAAGAGCCTTAAGAAGTTACCTGGGTTTCCCCAATATCATATGACAACTTCCCAGACTTGCCACGATTTCCAGTGTGGGAAGCAGACTATTCTGGCCCAGTATTACCATGAGATGCTTAAAGTTCATCAGTCACAGACGAGCAGGAGGCATTAGATTCCTTTACCTGAGCTGGTTGGTGGCTGTGACTGCTTCTCTCAGAACTTTGAGAGTTATACAGTTACAGGTAATCTGCTATGTGGCTGTGGTAGTTTGAATGTAATTGCCCCCATAAGTTCATAAGCAGTGGCACTATTATCTGTGGCTTTGTTGAAGTAGGTATGGCTTTGTTGAATGAAGTGTGTCATTGTGGAGATGGGCTATCATCTATCATATATCATATGAGCATATCATATATGCTCAAGCCACACCCAATGTCTCAGTGTCACCCCCTGTTGCTTATGATACTAGATGCAGGACTCTCAGCTCCATCTGCCTGCATGCCACCATGTCACACCATGATAATAAAGGACTAAACCTCTCAAACTATAAGCCAGCCCCAATTAAATGTTTTTCCTTTATAAGAGTTGCCGTGGTCATGGTGTCTCTTTGCAGCAATAGAAACCCTAACTGAGACAGTGGCTGAGCTCAGAATTAGAAAAAGGTGGAAGTATCAAGCCCCAAATAATTTATTAGATAAAAACTGTGTGTTCTAAACCAGTAAGATGCAGAATTTGGGAAGGAGGCACAGCCATCCTCTTAGAAATTTGAATCCTTCTTTAAGTCTGATATTCTACAAGTAGTGAAGACCCTGACATAGCTCCCTACTAGAACTCAGAGGCCAATCCTGGACAGCAAGGGTCAGAAATTAGACAGAGTAGTTTCTATTGTGATTATAACATGCCAACTCGGCTATGAGACTAATAGAACACAAAACAAAGAAATAAAAAGTTAACAAGTCACAATAGCAGTGGTCATATGCAATGCCAAACCATGCGTGCATGTGTCTCAGGCAGAACATCCAACATCTGAAATGGGATTGGGCATCACAGAGAACCGATAAGAAGGAAATTTCTCTTCCTATGTCCCAAATTTTACACAGCTATGAAGGCACATGCCAATAAATCCTGTCCCTTGCTCTCCAGACTCCCCAGAACTAATCTGAAGCCCTAACTGCAAACCCTCCTAATTCCCCACTGTTAAAGAAAGTTCTGTTTGTTAAAGAAAGAAGAAAAATGAATGAAGTCAGCTTTCTCTCTCAATCATTCTTAAGCTCTACTTTTGCTGTGATTCAAATATAACAATAACCATCAATTAAGGACTAAGATTTACAAATAAGTATGTCTGTCTTGTTGAACTAAAAAATATAACAATAACTATCAATGAAGGACTACAGATTTACAAATAAGTATGTCTGTCTTGTTGAGCTAACAAATATAACAATAACCATCAATGAAGGACTACAGATTTACAAATAAGTCTGTCTGTCTGGTTGAACTAAGCTGGGCCTTCTCAATGACATGACTTCATGTGAGCTATGAACGCTGGATACAACTAAAGCTTCAAAAAACATTAAAAACAAGTCTAATAAAAAGAACTTGTTCTAAAAAAAATGTTGAGAAAAAGAAAGGTCAGCAAGGGGAAGGAGCTATATGACACTTGTCCATGGCCTTGTCAATTTGGCTATTAAATTCTTTTAACTATCTAGTGTGTTTGTATTTATAAACTCAGAGTTTCCCACTTAATTTATAATGGATATAGATGCCACCAAGTAAACAAAGCTAAGAAGATCAGCCTACATGCAGACTATCACATTAATTTTTTGGTTGAAAGTTACCTGATTTTGATGGATTCACTAGAATATTTGAATGTTTGGTTCTCAAGTAGTGGCAATGTTTGGGGATGGATTATGAGGTGTAGACTTGCTGGAAGGAAGTATGTCATTGGGAACTTGTTTTAAAAACTTAAAAAATGTACACCATTTCAAGTTTGCTCACTCTACTTTCTGATTGAAGTTTACAGTGTGAGCTCTCAGCTTGCTCCAGCCACCATGTCTGTCTGCTGCCATGTTTCTTCACTGTGATGATGATGGACCCTTAGCCCTCTGAAACCATAAGCCCCAAATAAAACACTTCCTTCTGTAAGTTGCTTTGTCCATGGTGTTTTATCATAGCAACAGACAAAAAACTAATACAGTGATATTAAGCTCCTCAGTAAAACTTGAGTGTGTTATGGTAACATTATCAGCATCATAAGGTACACAGAGAGATACAATGGATTTGTGGCCAGACATATACATGAAACACTAATGTAATAGATTTAGAAAGATAGTATATAGTAACAGATATAGAAAGATATAAAGAGATATCAACTGCAAAAAGATATCAAAATCCTGGGAGAAGGGGGAGAAGGGTGGGAGGAGGGGGTGGGAAATGGGAGGCTGGGAGGAGGTGGAAACTTGTTTTTTTTTCTCCTTTTCTCAATAAAAAATGGAAAAAAAAACAACAAAAAAAAGATATCAAAATCCAATGACAAGAAGTACCCTCATCAAGCTGGGCGGTGGTGGCGCACATCTTTAATCTCAGCACTCGGGAGGCAGAGGCAGGCGGATCTCTGTGAGTTTGAGACCAGCCTGGTCTACAAGAGCTAGTTCAGGGACAGGCTCCAAAACCACAGAGAAACCTTGTCTCGAAAAATCAAAAAAAAAAAAAAGAAGAAGGAGGAGGAGGAGGAGGAGGAGGAGGAGGAGGAGGAGGAAGAAGAAGAAGAAGAAGAAGAAGAAGAAGAAGAAGAAGAAGAAGAACCCCCCATCATATCTTGGCTACATTGTATAGAAAACCTATGCTAGGAAAATAAATCTTTAAAAAAAATAGAGTGGGGGGCCTGGAGAGATGACTCAGAGGTTAAGAATACTGCCTGTTCTTCCAAAGGTCCTGAATTCAATTCCCAGCAACCACATGGTGGCTCACAACCATCTGTAATGAGATCTGGTGCCTTCTTCTAGCCTGCAGGAAAGCGTGCGGGCAGAACACAGTATATATAATATATAAATATTTTCAAAGAAGTGGTTTTGTTGTAATAGTAAAAGTGACTGGTACATAGCATGTACGTTCAGAAAATAAAGCTAAAAAGTCTAGGGAATAGTCTTAAGGATAGAGTGAAGATGTGAAGAGCAAGAAAAGTACATGATCAATTTGGTGTGTGTGCGTGTGTGTGTGTGTGTGTGTGTGTGTATGTGTGTGCTGAACAGAAGATCTCACATAAGACTAAACTAGTATTCTACCAGTGAACTAATCCCAATGTAATAATTTAATCACTTAATTTAGTAAAA